CAAAAGGCAAATTGAACGTGTTAAGACCCCTTCGGTATGGAGCAGACCCCAGGCATGAGGTCATCAGCCTTGGTTTAGCAGCCTTTGTCCTACAGCCTGATTGACAGGAGGGGTGGCTATCAAAGACAATTGTAGGACTGGTTACAGCCATGGATATCATTCAAGATACAGCAGATCTCCATTAAAAAATACTTTTGATAATTCACCAAATTTAGCCTAGAAACACAGATTTTTCCAAACCAGAGCATGGTACATATGGGGATAAAAAGTCCTGCACAAATGAAAATCACATACCAACACACAGTGACATCTAAGCTTGGTAATCGTTTCGCACCTCCAGTCTGTGGGCAACCTTAATATGAATGATAAAGTCTGTGAATCTTTTAATCTGTGTTGATAACAGGTGATAAACATTAATAGGCCACTAATATTCCACGAGTAAGCCTATGTGTGTGTGTTGCAAAGGAGAAAGACAAATCTCTTCCCGCCTCCCTCTCTCTCTCTCCCCCTTATGTCTCAGAGATTAGCCTTTGCTCAAACACCTCCTGTTCATCTAAGTAATTAAAACATTAGAATTACTGGATTATAAACTGCTTTCTATTTAATCCAGCACTCGATGCTCCCACCATCTTGCCAAATGGGTCAATAGGAAATATAATGGGCCTCTGTGATTTCTGATTCAGGGATCTGGAAGAGGCAAAGGATGCCAATAATGGCTATTAAAAGAGATGTGTGTTTGTGTGTGTGAGAGAAAGAGAGACAGAGAGCCCAGACCGGCTTTGCCCTGAGTGCCATCTGTCTTGGACCCACTAGACCCAGTTTAGACTGGAAGAAGCCAAACCAGTTCAGTCTCTATCTCTGCCCCCAATGCACCGTTATGCGAGCACACACACTCACACACATGCATGCACGCACAAATGCAAACACACACACACACACACACACACACACACACACACACACACACACACAGACTCCCCGTGAACTCTCTTGAAGTGTGAAGAACGGTTATATGTTAAAGGCACCTGCAGTTCTTTGATCTTTCTTTGAGAAAATTACCAAGCAAAGGCCTTGCTTGTGTGCGTGCGTGTGCATGCATGTGTGTTTGTGTGTGTGCATAAGACCCTATAACAGGTGTTTGCCCCCGAGGCCCCCTGTGCACCTTAAGTGTCTTGTACTAATGGGTGTCCTGATATCATTTATATATAATTTATCCTGCTATTGTCTACCTTCCATACAGGTTCTCACATGTGCACTCATTCACAAACCTTCACTTTCATTCAATTGTACGGGAAGTTCCTCCCTCCTCACATTGCCCCCCGCCTCACCTTTCTTGGCAGTCAAAATGAAGGTGTGCTGTGGGGATTCACAGCTGCTGTCTTCTCACCTATACTGTCTATACTCATTTTGGAATACCAGTTTGTGCTTGGCATGATTTCTATGTGCTTGTGTACGTGAGTGTACACACTGTACACTTCTGCATACTTTTTTGTGTGAGACTGTGAGCAGTGTCCTCTGGAGCATGTTTCTGCCTGTGCGTGTATGTTTTTTGTGTGTGTGTGTGTTCATTATGGTTTGTGTTTGTGTTACTCGCAACAAGGGGTCCAAGTTGACACAGTGACAGTTCCTCGCAGAGCGACAGAGGGGCCCTGCCATCCAACAACAGAGGCTTTGTCGCTCTGCTCCTCTTGGCTTGTTATGGACTTCCTTCTCTCTCTCTTTCCCTCGCTTTCTCTCCCTTTTTTAGTGAGCCCATTTTCTTGTCTGAAGTCTTAATTTGGGGCGCTGGCCAGTGGGGAGAGGGAAGAGAGGCGAGGGGACCAAGGGAGGGAAGAACGGGGGGAGGAGGAGAGGAGGTGCGGAGTGGTGATGGCTGCAGACGGACGGCCCTTTGTTCCTCCTTTCCCAGGCTCCTCTCTTGAGCCTCCGAGGCTCCAGTTGCGTTGGAGCCTTCCAGAGAGAGAGAGAGATTCAGAGAGAGAGAGGGAGAGAGAGAGCGAGAGGGGCTGGGAGGAAAAAGGGGGCACAATGATCTGTCCAACTGGAATCTTCCAATTCCACAAAACAAATGCACACACACATACAAGTGATGTTGAGATGGAGAGGAAGAAGGGGGTAGAAAGAGAACAAATTAATCAAAAGATAATGAATAAAGAATTAATATAACTGGGCAAAACTAAAATAGCAAAGAACACACATGGGTGATATGAAGACTACATCAATAGTAGCACACAGAGTTTAAGCTGCACATACTGACCACTAGGTGTCCCCATCACTGATGCCAAATGTGGGCAACTCAGAGTTAAACCCACACTGTGCCAGTGGCTCTGGAGCATAAGACCAGTGTGTTGCTCCATCCACAATAGATGAAATCCAGTGTTTAATTACTAACACATGCAGAATGAATCCATCAATCTGTGCAATGTGGAAATCTGTTCTCATGGTTTTTGATTGAAACTGGAAGCATATTTGCATGAAAAGTTTAATTCTAGGCGCAATGATGAAACGAATGCACCGTTAAGCAAATAAAAGGAGATGCACACATACATACAAATCCTCTGTAAACAAAAGTCCTCTGATGGAGAAAAACTTCAATTGTATTGTGCTGTTTCAGTTTCAAGCCCACAGTCATTTTGCAGGTGTAGGTGTCAAAATGGTTCAAACGGTGGACAGCTCATTTTGGTCGTTGGTAGGAGGATCGCACAGAGAAGAAATCGAAATGAGGTCCGGAGTCCTTGTGTTTTCTTCGTCACAAAGGTTCCTCAGCATGGGGAGTTACATCAGTGCATGTGTGTGGTGATATTTATCAAAAAAAAATTCTGTTTGTTGTTGGGTTGGCGTGTGTGTGTGTGTGTGTATATATCCTCCAAGCCATAAAACACACTAAATGTAATGGGAAAGCTCAAAGAAAACAATTTCAGTTGAAAAAAAATCACACTCTTAACACAAAATGGAAAATGTTCTTGAACCTGAGCGTGTGATAACAGGCGACCGCGAAGGGAGGAGGGACTTGGAGAGGGACCTTGGGGACCGTGTCAACGTTTTCTGTGCCGGAGCAGGGACAAACATTGGGCAAACATTGGGAAAGGCTGGCAGCCTTTGAGATAGTGGGCCGTTGATCTAAGACTGAGGAACTAAAGTCCACTATCTCCTGTCTGATACAGCAGCCAAGGTCTTGCTGACACACAGAGACACAGAACAAACATGGATATACCTGAAGACAATGACCTTTGAACCCTCAGTGAGAGAGCTGGAAAAAAACAGGAAGTGGTGAAAGTGACTCCAGCGACTTCCTCCCTGCAGGCCAAGAATGAATCAGGTGGAATGATTGTAAGTACACGGGTCATTGTACATAAAAAGCACACACACATTGTTCAAGAGTGGGAGGCACAGATGTGGTGTGTGTGCATGTGCATGTGTGTGCCTACATGCGTGTGCGTGTGTGTGTGTGTGTGTGTGTGTGTGTGTGTGTGTGTGTGTGTGATGGAGGAAGCGAGAGAGTGAGTCTTCAGATGTAGCGACAGATGGTATTTGATTACAGAGCAGACGGTCGGTGTTGTACAAAGATGCTGTCTCAGCCCAACCTAAGGAGCTGTAGCCTCCGGTTAAGGCAAGCAGAGGGAGGCAGGCGGAGGACGAGAGGGAAAAGGAACACGGGAGAGAGAGAGAGAGAAAAAAAAAGAATAAAAGCAAGCAAGCAAGAAAGACACAAAAGAAGCAACTCCAAAAATGAGCATCAAAGCAAAAAGAGTGAAAAGCAGTCAGGCAAGAACAAAAGGAAGAAAAGGAACAGAGCAACGGGCAGGCGTGGTGGAAAGTACAACAGAGGTCATGATAAGAAAACAGCAAAATGACGCAGAGAGAACACAGAGCCTTTTTAAAATAGTATTTTCTTCAAAAACTCCCAAACTCATCAGCCAAAAAAATGACAGCAACAAAAGTATTTTATTTTAAAAATACGTCAGATGATTTCTTTTATATCTTTAATTTTGTACATTATAACATTTAAGATAAGCTAAGAGAATCTTTATTGATCCCACCCTGGGGAAACTATTCACTATAATGCACTATACTACTACTTTAAACTACAGCTGCTACAATTAGTTGATTAATCAATTAGTTGATCAACTGATAATTAATCTGCCTCTATTGTGACAATCATTTTGGCTGTTTTCAAGGAAAATAGCCAAACACTATCTGGTTCCAGCTTCTAAAATTTTGAGGGTTTGATGATTATATTTGACAGTAAACAGGGGGGGGTTGGTTTTGGACTGAATACGTCTCCTTAAGCTGTTAATTGATTAAATTGATTAATTGAGAAATGAATCGATAATGAAATTAATCGTTAGTCTCATCTCTAGGTGGAACAAACCCAAATTCCAAGAGTTTTGTCTTTCCACTGTCCTTTAACTTTTATCTGAGCATTAAGAACTTGTCTTTTATTTACAAAATCTGTCATGTAATTAATTTCCTCAAACTTAGTTGATAACTTTGATCAGCTTTAGGGTTGTAGATTGAAGAGATGATTTCATTGTCTGTCTGTCTGTCTGTCTGTCTGTCTGTCTGTCTTTTGTGTGTGTGTGTGTGTGTGTGTGTGTGTGTGTGTGTGTGTGTGTGTGTGCATCCCTGGGTATGGCGATTGTTGCATTTAGCCCGATGAGGCGGCGTCTGCAATCGTCTGTGGGTAAAACTAGGCTGGGAGGTCGGTGCTCTGCTGCCAAACTCCTCATTAGTGCGTTGAATCACTCAGAGCTGCACTGATTCACTCAGAGTAACTGTACAGTAAATACATACATTGTAGTCAGTGACGCAATGTATGTACTTGTAAGTAAATAGTTCATACACAGGATAGGAAATACCAAGGTAATACCATATCTTTATAGACCTTTCTCCCATACCCATCACACACACACACACACACACACACACACACACACACACAAAATACATGTTTTTATTGTGTATAGAAAATGGTGCAAATAAACCATAAACGGCAGACGTTTTCTACTCTTTTTCATTTTTATTTCCATTTTTTATTCATTTTGCACAAGCTTGCATATATACTGCACATACATTCAGTTCATAGAGGGTGAAGGCACGAAAGGCAATTTGACTACTGGTTGTTTTTGGGCTGGGCCAAAGCAATACAGGGGAAAAATCTCAAGAGAAAATACAAAACTGCTTCAAACTAGTTTCAGCTTTCTGGCCCACCCTCGGCCCTGTCCTGGAACAAAACATATCAACCTTTTTTTTTTTAACTGTTCAGTTCCATTTAGCTGCCAAGATCTCCAGTTTATCATTTTTCTCAATTGAACGAGTACGCTAGCATACTAATTTTTTAAAATTTTCAGTAGATAAGGATTAAAATCTTTTAAGTGGGTTCTACTCAATGAAATGCAGTACAGCCTTCCCTGTTTGAAAAACAAAAGAAAATAACATCAAATAAATTAGGATAAATTAAACCAATAAATTACACAAAATCGGCAAGACAAATAGACACCAATAACAGAAAAAAAGCAGCCATGTCACGAGTTTTATTTTACAACCTGTGTGTAACTGTTCAGACTGTATTTGAAACATGGCTGTTCCAGTTGGAATTACTGCACTAGAATCGAATAATAATGTCATACAAAAAGCATCAACAAAACACTATTTACATAACATATTGCTAAGTTACACAAAGGCAGTTTTTATCACTGTAAGTCCACATCATTGATATTTACAAAAAAAGAGAAGCAATGTAATAATAATAAAAAAAGAATTACTACTGAAAGCATCGTGAAACAAAAACCCCTTTCAAACAGGTCAGAAAACAGATCAGAGGAAATTATCGCAACACGCACACACACACAACACACACACACACACACACACACACACACACACACACACACACACACACACACACACACACACACTTTGCCAATGCTTAATGAGAATCATTTACATGTCAGGATGGTACTCCCAGGGGTGGGGGAGGGTCCACAGTGTTGAGAATTGTGTCACTCACTGGTTCACAGGTTCTCATAATCGGTCTTTTCTCTCACACAGACACACACTCATATACATCTACACGCACACGCGCGCACACACACACACACACACACACACACACACACACACACACAAAATGCAAAGCCTACAGAAAATTCCACAGAAAGTCCAAACTTTTTCCAACTGTTTGAACCCGGTAAAAAAGGGTATAAATCACTTCTTTTTTTTCTGTCTGCAGTCTCTTTTTAAACTATTACTGTACAACATGTGCCCCCTCCATGACACTACTCTTCGGATGACAATTAATTCCTGTCTCTCTCCCGGGTCAAATCTAGAGCTACGTCGGCGGCAGTCTGCCCTTGTTTTTTGGACGAGACCGGGTTCACAGACTGCCAACGGGCCCCTCCGTGACATCATCATTACCCGACCGCAAGCCTAACGCATCGTTCTGTCAGCAAAAATTAAAGAAACGGATGCTGGTGCAACTTCAAGGGCACTGCCGACGGGAAACAGACCCCCGTTAAAGGCATGGCAGGGGAAAAAAAACAACCAAAACCTCTCCTATGTGAGTGGTTACGAGTCCAGTTGGAGAGAGTGGGTCCCTCTTTTTTGTTTCCACCCTTCTTTTTTTAACCACTCTCACCCCTCTCTAGCACTCTGAGTGATAATAGAAAAACTGTACAGCTATTCTTTGTTTCATCCTGACAGTATTTACAGTAGCAACAGCAATATTTCATACTCTGAAAACATATTCCAAGTTTATTTTTCTGATCTCAAGAAGACAGCCATTCAGCACAATACAAAAAGGTAAAGAAACCAAAAGGAAAAGTGGTCACAAAACCTGCAAAAAACCTACAACTATTGCTCCTAAACTACCAACAACTCACTTATTCAGATACAGATTTAAACAAAGCCGTCACTAAAAATACCCTCAAGCTTTCTTTTATGAAACAATTTCTAACAGTGCCTTCCAAAGAACTTCCACTACTGTATATATTTTTTCCCATAGATTTATCTTTTACAATTCTTAAAAAAGGCTATATATGTATTTCAATAATGTTATCCTTAAAATCAAACGACCCAGAAAAGGAAAACTTGACAAAAATATTCTCAACGCGGTATTAAGGTCTTGCTAATCCATTTTTTTTGCACATAAGTCTTCATTATCCTGAATTAATCTTTTTAGGCGCAGGAACTCTTTAACTTCAGGGCGGGGTTGCAGGAAAGGGGAGGGTGGAGAGCGATAATAATCTGTGCATCAGATAAAAGTGTCCTTTCCTCTCTCTTTTGTTTGTGGTGCTTTAGAGCCCTTGGCTGGTGTTTTGAGACTCTGAGACATGCAGGGCCTAGCCCATCCTTTAGTGAGAAATGTGTCCGACTTGCTCTCTCAGGGCTCCGGATCTTAAGAAGAACACTGTTCAGGGAGGAAGAAAGGGGGGGTACATAATGAAGGGAGTAGCTCTCCGTCTTTCTCTGCCTCCTTTTGTCAGGCGCTTTGTCTCGCTTAGACAAGTCAGCAGGTTAAGCAACCTGCTCCTTTTTGATCTTTTGTGACACACACAGACACACTATAACCTAATGTCGCCAAGGTGAGATCAACAGCTAGCTCGCACGCACTCCAGAAAGAATTCAAGTCCTCTCATTGCTTCAAACTTACCTCAGCAAAAGGGCAGCTAACACTAACTGCTTCTTAAAATTGTTAAAAGCCTGAGAGAGCGGATAAAATTGATAAAACACTAGATATACACGTACAACTCAAGTGGAAAATCTGGGATTAGAATCTCAGGTAAAAGTGAAAGGAATGGTGTTTAACAAACTGGGCACAGTGGCTTCAACAGAATCTCACTTTGGGTCTTAAAAGCTGCCAGTTTGGGACGGAGGGACAGAGTAGAGGGTTTCAGGTGCGTGTTGCTCCTCGCTCTGTGCCTTTGTCCCCGCTCTTTGTAGTGCTGAGAGCTTCTCCATCTACCCCTGGGGTGAGTGCTCACCTCTGACCTTGTATTGTTGCAGTAAGAGAGGAGCTAGATCACTCAAAGGCAGGTGAACATGGAGCATGGAGGGAAGGAGCAGTGTGTGTGTGTGTGTGTGTGTGTGTGTGTGTGTGCTTGTATGTGTGTTGTTTGCGGGGGAAGTTCCACTTGAAGCAGAATTAATGAACGCCCGTGTTTCAGCTTATATTCACCTCTCTTTTTGCCCTCCTTGAATTATCTTCCTCTCTGTGATGCTTCTACTCGTATGTATTTCATTATCTATATGTTTCAGCGACACTGTACTTTAGATTGCCACAGTATTCTGATATATTCAAGTATCAACTGCTATTGAAATAACTTCATAATGTAATTTACACCTTGTATAGGCTAATCACAATACAAACCTGCCATATAAACAGGCTGACTTCATCTCACACATGAGCTATTCAGTGAACAGTGCTATAAAAAGACAAATAACTATGCATTTACTACTGTGTATGTTCACTAATCCTGAACAGATAATTAGACGAATAAGATTTATTTGGATAGCTGAGCAAAATGGCTCGTTTAGTGGGAGCAGTTTAGTTATCAAAGCTGGAGTGGCTATGGAAATTTAGCCGTTTTAAAAACAGCAAGTCACGCACCAAAAGGCCACACTTGTGCATATTTCTTTACTTCTGCGCCGTTTACTTCATGTGTTTCTGCAGCCTGACTCCTTTTCCAGCTGGTCCTGTGCAGGATAGGCTAGTCACTACAGACGTACAGAGAGGACCACTCTGACGGCCCTGCATTAAAACCCCAAATTCGAAACACTTTCCAGGCAAGTTGCCCTAGACCCCGACCACCAAAAAAATAAAACAAACAAAACCAGTCCACTTCAGAGATGGACAAACAAAAACAAGAATGAGGAGAAGGATGGGAAATGGGGGTAAAATATTTCTAAACTCTTTTGGAATAATATTAATAGCAATAATTTATTTTTCTGCAACGGCATCAAGGGACAAACAAATCTTGAAGTGCCAATCTTCAGCAAGCAGTGATGACAAATAATAATAATCATAAACAACAACAATAATAATAATAATAATCAAAATAATAATGTACAGCCAATAAACACAATGCCCTACTTGCAGGGAAAACACACTTCAAAACATGGTAGAGCTCAGTAGCTATTTGAAACCAGTCCAAGTCCCACAGACTAGTACAGACCAGTACCACGAGTCCAGTCTTAGTCCAGTCAATAACCTCACTAGGCCTTGTTTTTGTGTGCGTGTCTGTGTGTGTGTGTGTGTGTGGAAGAGACTGTCCTGTTGGGGACATCTTCAGTAGCACAGTCTATTGGGCACCCACTTTGCACTTCATGGGGACAGTTCATTTGGACACCCCTGGGTGCCATGAGTAAAGTCTTTAGGGAACCCTGCCTATGTTCTTAGCAGTGTAAAGGGGAAACTCCTTCCACCCACTGAGGACTTAGTTAGTTGATCATAAAACAGGCCAAACGGATGAGGGTTCACACGGTCCAAAAAACACCCAATAAGATTAGAGTCTCTTCAGTTCAGAATCATAGAAAAACAAAACAAATAATAACCATCATGATAATTATCATATAAGAACAACAACACAATAGCTAGGTCATTTAGGAACTGCCACAGAGGCTTGAGATTGGGAATGCTACTTCATAACTTTCATACATTCAAAAATTTGAAAATAAAAAACAGGAAATCAAAAGTAAAGTTTAGGGAAAAGGAAAAAAACAAACAAAAGAGAATATCATTTTGAAATTCTATGAAATCAGAGAAAATAAAAAAGCGCAAAGCGTCGATTGAGGAGGAAGAAAGGAGGAGGAGGAGGAGGAGGAGGAGGAGGAGGAGAAATTTACTCGTGTAGAAGCTCTTGGAGACAGTTGGGGGACTTGAAGACCTCGGGGACCTCGCTGTCCAGTTTGCAGATGACCTTGTAGATGGCCTTCTTCCAGGATGGGTCCACGTCTTTGCCGGCCACGATGGCATTGAAGAACTCCCTCAGTGTGATCTCAGCCACCTCCAGGAAGCGATCAGGGACCTTTACAGACACAGAAAGGGAGAGAAATGGTTACTAACCAATAGAGGTATATTGACGACAAAAGATTTAAGAGTGCTGTTCAGTCTTTGAGTCAACATTTGAGAACACAGGTACGGATTCGTAAGAGCAGAATCAGATTAGAGCAGGCAGTCCCCATCATGCAGTAGCTGTTCATCACTCGTGAATGTTTTTCTTAGAATGGCTCTAATGATTTTCCCGGTTAAAATGATTCATAAAACATGGAAAATTAAGAAATACAAAAACCCTTCATCTGGTTCACACTAGACATAGAAGTTAACACAAACCTATGATGGTTCCTGATTTTTTTCCCCCCACTGTATATTACCATTTGAACATTCCTTAATATATCACAGCATAGAAACACATAAACGTTACCTGTAATTTAGAGATACTGTAGGTTTATATTATGGCCACCATTAGATTTTTTTTTATCTTCAATTTCTGAAAAACCACCATCACTATTCCTTTTCAGTTTGATCTGATGGATAGCGCTAAACACTACAGTAACCACAAGCCTCAGCTGTCAGAGTAACAAATCAGGGCTGTGTCATTATTCAGAAAGCTTTATGGTCTCACATATAACCAAAACACTGTGTCATAGTTCCCTAAAGTACCTAGAATTTAAGCTTCCTCTTAACGTTAGCGATGCACACAGCGTAAGTTTTAGCTTTCTAGCTTTAACCTCCTGGCTTCCAAAACGCTGTTTGGTAGTCGTAATTAACTTCTCTCCATTTTATGAACATTTTCTAAATGCAGTTTCTTGTCTTTTGTACTGAGGAACCAGTCAAACTGCTTCACCCTCCCAGCTCTTTCATTTTGCAGTGGCGTTTCCTTGAAGTTGGCCCAACACGACATCTCCTCCCTTGTAGAATATGTTTTTTATTTTCACAATGGATGTAAAACCATTAATATCATGTCTCTTGAGTATCTACTTCCTTAAAAGCCAATTGAGGTGTCAGCCTGAGAAAAGTCACTTCTTGTGAATTCTCAGGTTTCTCACACCTCCCACTTCCCTCCCCACAACAACGTGAGTATGACATCTTTATGAGTCCCACTGTAAATCTGTGACCAAACAAGAAAGCGGAGCTGAGTGAAGAGCAGCAGAGAGGTGCTGGCGAAAGAGGAAGTACTAAATGCTTTGGGAACGGGGAGACACGCCGCCTCTTTAGTGTCCCTGACAGCAGCGCTCACCGACACCATGGAGATGATTAGTCTGGCAAAGATCTGTGACACCTTCCCCCAAGCCAACACTCTGTCACACACACACACACTCATGCAGGCGTGAGCGCACACACCAGTGCGCACACCTCCTTGTGCCAAGGAGATGACACATCCTGTACTGTTACAGAACTCTACATAATGCTCGCCACACACACATACACACACATACACTAGCTACCCTGGTGTATTTGGCTGAGTCTCTTTCCTCAACTCAAAGCTCCAGGGCGACGCAGCCTTCAGGGGTCACCTGCTTGGATAATGCTGACTGTCTCCCTGCCCGCCTCCCTTGATGCTCGCACACACACACACACACACATACAGCAGCTTGCCCAAATGCCTGACAGTGCGCACTCCGCTCCGCTCCTCTCCTCCAGTGTCCTGCAGATACTCATCAGGAGTGTCAGGACACAGCAAGGTTAGTGGCCACTGGAACACACACACGCGCACACACACACACACGCACACAGACGGTCATGTACACACAGACTGTCAAACACACAGGCATGCCTCTTCACATGCACACACATACACACTTATACACACGGGACAGCCACCCACCCCCCTCGGGGTGATGAATGGAGGCTAAGATGCCCGTGTGTCTGGTGTGTGTGCATATCTCTGTCCACTGCCCAAGTGAAAAGGTGAGTCGTGAATAAGGAGCTTGTACGCTCTGTGTGTGTGTGTGTATTTGGCAGAGAGATAGAGAGAGAGAGAAAAAAACACACAAGCTAACCCAATTCCCCAAATATTGAATTCCCCTCTGGTGCGGTAGAAGTGGATATAATTCATTGTTTGGACTGCTGTCGTCTCTGAAATACTGGCACAATGACCCCAGTGTGAGGGCAACTTTGTGTGTATGCATTGTAAGTGTCTGTGTGGGCATGCGCACCCTTTTCCCAAAAGACCTCGCTGACGGGCCGGTGCAGCGCAGCGCCCTAGCCGTTAGACGCAGGGAGTGCCGCATTACTAAGAATATTCCTGCATGGAATTTCTCCTGACGTTTTGACTATAAAAGGACAGCAAAACGCTGACTGCAAGGAGAAAGCAATGTCAAGGAGAAAAGGGTATTGGTATTTCAGATCCTCTTGACTGAGAGCGAGAGAGTGAGAATGGGAGGGAGGGAGAGAGAGATGGCAAGAGAAGGAGGGGCTGAGAAGAGTCTAAGGAGAGAGAGAGCGGAGCGACAGAACAGAGGGAGTTATTCCTGTCCCACAAGCCTTTGTTTTGTGAGTATGTGTGAGTTGTGTATGTGAGCAAGCTGCCTCCTGACCAGCAGTGAGCCTTAACTGTTTGCAACCCCTCCCTTGTCCCACTCTGTCCTCCCTCACTACCCCCCCCTCTTCATCTCTCTCTCTCTAGGGTCAGCTGTTGGGCCTTTGTTCCAGAGGCATTGTGGGGGATTATCCAGTGTGGCCGCTCATTCGCTCGGCTGTCCGGTAAATGGGGCCAATCGCGTGGCTCACAATCCTTCATACATATTTCATAGGGCTTTTTAACAACTTCTCAGCAGAGCCCAAAATTAAAGGACAGATGTACAAAGAGGGGAGGAAAGAGGGGAGGCGAGAGGGGAGGCGAGAGGGGAGGGAGAGAACCAGGAAAAATAGAGTATACAGCGAAGGATGGAGAGTTTTGTGTGTGTGTGTGTGTGTATGTGGAATGACGCCTGAAAAAGGCAAACAAGGTGACTGAGAGCATGTTCGCACTATGACGGCTAAATCTGAAAATGCACATTTTTATCTTTGGCTGTTGCTCCACACTGCGCTGGTGTTTTTCCTCACCTAAAAACAGCTTTTGGAAAATTCTAACATAAGCCTGCTCAGTAATGGTCAGCGGCTGTGTGGCAGTAAATTTAAGAAAACAACTTTCTGTCATCACTCACTTTAAATGTCAATATAGACAGTCTCACGGTGGAGCTGTCACTAATTTGCATTTTCTGTTTATTTTTGCTGGACGACATTACAATCATGACATAGCCATTTGATTGGTGTCGGTGAAGCAGAAAACACTGTTTACCTGGTCACATGAACGTTAGAATAACTAACAGAATTTTCAAATGTAGCGTGGATAAGTCTGAATGAAAGGACAAGCATGACTGAGGTTGATGTCTTCATGTGTCATACACAGGCGCGCGCGCACTCTGTGTTGATAAAATCATGTGGCATTCAGAAAAATAAGTGGTTTTGTTCTCTGTTCGAAGGTGCGAGAAAGACGGAGAGGATGGAAGTGTGTGTGTGTATGTGTGTGTGTGGCGGGGTGTCCAAAAAAAACAACAACAAAAGCTTTCATGAAAAGGGATATTATCGCTGCTCTACCCCTGTGTAACACAATATGAAAGGAGGAAGACAGAGAGGGAAAAAGGGAAAAAAACACTCCTCTGATACACACACGTTTCCCTAACCTTTGCATTGTGCTGTGTGTTGGGTAAATTCCAATCAAAAAGAAAGGAAGAAAGAAAGGAAGAAAGAAAGAGGGACTTCTCTGACAAGAGGCAGCGATGAGGCAGTTAATCACTCTCATTCACTGACTCCCCCCTTCTCCCCCACAACTCTCTCCCCCATTCTCTCCACCTCTCTCCATCTCCCTCTCTCGTGACAGGTTGCTTTGAGACAGAAGGATAAGCTCTTTTTCAGAGAGAGGGAATCGGATTTCCTGCTTTTTGATGAGATAATAAAATATGACGGAGGACAATAGGAGGCTGTGGACGGCTTGCTGGGAGCTATTCACTCCAGCAGCGGCCCCTGTCTTAAGACTGCTTAGACAAACGTTTAAAAAGGTAGCCAGAGGCCCAAGCCCTTAAATAAAGGCTACTGTTACACACACACACTGTGGGGAAGTCAGTGTGTGTGTGTGTGTGTGTGTGTGTGTGTGTGTGTGTGTGTTTGTGTGTGTCTTTGCATGTGTTTTGATAAAGCCTGAGAAATCGCTTGTCTCTCGGTGACTCAGGGTTGGCTGTTTGTTTGGCCAGCGTGTTTCTCCCCCTTGCTTTTGGGAACTGTCAGGAGATGTATTGCACCTTCTATTTGCACAGCGTTGGCCAAACAAGACGAGACCCTGGAAGATAAGGTTGTGTGTGTAAGTGAGTGTGTGCGCTAGTGAACTGCAGCCTTGAAGGATGAAATGCAGGGACACAACAGAAGCCCTCGCTGCCAGCCAGGTTAATTCCTAACCCCAACTCAGCCTGGGAATACCAACACTTCCCATGCTTTTCGGTCAATGTATTTGTTTGTGTGTGTGTGTGTGTGTGTGTGAGAGAGAGAGAATTTATAGATTTTGTAATGTACTGAATGCTACAAACATCTGGCATTGACGATGCCGTGGGTGAGTCTTAAGAATATTCACACTTCGGCTGACAGCGAAACATACATTTTAAAAAGAGGTGAAACTGAAGTTGAGCAGGCCTGTGACATTTCAGTGAGCCAAGCCAGAGCTTCCCGAACCTCGAACACACACTCACACATAGGCCCCTGTGCCTCACGTATCTGCTCTGATCAATAATCTACAAAGGCCTTGATAAGCCCTTGGCCCACACTGTCACTTTAGGCAAACACAACCCATGTCCCCTTTCTTCCTACCCCTCACTGCGCTTGTCCCCACCCCCCTCTCCCGCTGATAAGACTGGTGCCATGGCAGAAGAGTCCATCCAGCTAGCGCGGAAAAGAATGGGCAGTTGCAGTGGATCCTATGTTGTTCTTAATTTTCTTAATTTTCTTAAACGTTTTCCAAACTCCTCTCAAAGCCACAAATCTCTGATATGGGAA